AGGCAATTGAAGAATCAAAGTGACGATCGACTCGCCGATGGCGACTGGGTGAAAAGGGTAATGACGTTTTGCTATCTGTCAAATTGCATGGATTTTTGTATATAACAACTGTGTTTAGTGTAACTGTGGATCTGAAAACTAGGTATCACATGACCAGTTTAAGCTTTGCTTGGATTCGCCAACAGCAAAGTCACGCCAAAAAAATGAGAATACCATTTCATTGGCATACATGTATCGGCAAAAGAAAAAAAACATCAAAAAGCGTAAAGCAGACATTATCATAAAATGTGGAGCCTTCCTAAAATCGAATACGGAAAGGAAATACCCCAGAACAGTTGCAGCCAGAAATCCCAGCTCCGGTGTGAACCGTTTCAACGCAGTCGGCGTTGCGGTTGGTTGAGAAGCGTGGGGAGCACATGCGGGTGGCAGTGTGTAGCATCGGAGTGTAAAAAGTATTCCAAATTATTTCCCCCTTTTGAACTTTTTTTTTTTTTTTCCTAATCGCGTCCGTTCCTTTCTCATGAAACTGGCAGCTAGCTTTGAGGTGAGTGTTTTGTAAATAAAAAATTTGGGTTGGCAAGGGTGGTTTGCACTTTTCATTGTTGGATATCGTGGAATTAGAGTGGGGATTATGATGTTTTTGCTTTGTGCGAACCTCTATTGAAATGAATGCTTTTTTGTCTCTGCCACGGTGATATGAAATTCCGGGTGAATGGGTGAAGCATGATCACCTGCCGAAGGCTGATTCAAATTACTGACGGTGGACGAAACACGCGCTTGCACTTACCTATCGATAAAACCACCCGTATCAATTGAAGTTCATCGCATTGACCAAAGCGATTAGAGGTTCTATTGTGTGCAGTTAAACGGTCGTTATTTGTGTGATAAGACGGAATGTTATCGTCTGGCCGTTGGCGACCAAGCCGTTTAACGGGCCATTCTGTTCAAGTATGATTTATGGGATTGGTTTCACCGTGGTTGGAAACACATGAACCTGTACATTATCTTATGGGTGGCATGAGCTAACTTATCAACGGAAAATATGAGCCATTTACGACTTAATTATGTGTGGTTGAGAAGTACACAGTTATTCTGATACATGGGGTACTGTAAAACATAGACACGAATTTCGCTTTAAATCTCGACACGACCCATCGGAGCTCCCTGATATGAAAACCGTTAAAAGTTTGTTTGTAATAGTTGTTTTAGCACTCTTGGGTCATTTGTGACTTGTCCGGGAAGAGATTTGAACCAGTGACTATGGCATGAGAGACAAGGATGTTACCCACTACGCCGAGGCCGTCCTCACGTTCATATACACACTTAGAAATACCTAATCTTACACATGACCGAATCCATCTTTCACATAAAGGATAAACAAACATGACCTGTAAAATTAAGTGCTGTGAGACGGAAAAGTTCGAATGTACGTTTGATTGAGCTGAGATTGGCGTCTATTATGACTCAATTTTATGTCAAAATTGACGCTCGTATATGTCAGTCTCAGAGCACCTAAATTTACATTATTTTTTCTAAGTATATAGTTAAATTTTTATGCATTCGAGCTATTTGATTAAAAGCTTACATTGGTACCTTAATCCGGGGGCCAATTGATCATCCCGCCGCCTCCAGCATGTTATTGCTTTATAGTTGCGCCTTTATTTATATGTGCAATAACATCAGCTCACATTCTGCAGACATTGAATAGGTTGAATTGATTATAAATTAACTGCATAGCTACAGAGTAGGTCCACGCTAAATGACCTATATGGGGGTACACATTGTGAATACTGAAAATGGAATATGTAACAAAATGATGAAAGATTTTAACGCTAATAACTCAGCTGCCACTGGACCAATTTCAATAAATTTAAATATCACCAATCGATCAGAAATATTTCTACGCATCTGTTGAATTGAAGGCTTTATCATTTTTCAAAAATGCATGAATGTCAACTGTTGCTATGATAATTAAAATAATCACCGATTGCCTGCAAAAAGCAATTTCCCTAACACAGATTTCAAAGTTGAATTCCATCCGGTCTCACCAAACGGTGTTTATTCAATCACCGCGTGGTGAGTGGTGGTGTTCCCCAGTACACAACGAAAGGCTATCTGCAAGCAGCGAGCTGTAGCCCACATGACCATCCATAGAAGGCGAAAGCCGCACAGGTATTGATCAGAATCAGTAGCTCTTCGTGAGTCGCTGTGGGCCATATATGTCAAGCGCGTCATACTAAAGGGTATATAGAGAACCCTGCTCAAATTCCTATTCCTACACAAAACACAAGCTCCTGCTGCAGCTAACAACAAATAAGATTTATTATATAAGACCACGTAGTCCTACGTCTCCGACTCACCACCTCATACACCGGAGACCAACGGCATTTCTTCCCTTGCGAAGGAAGACGTGATCAGAGATGTTATCCCAAGTAACAATTTTGGTTTTATAAGGGTTCTGTAGACCATGATTTAGACTTGTAGAATGCTATAAAACCTCGATTAAACCTGCAATAGATTGAACTCAGGCCCTTTGTGGTAAGAGGCAATCACGCTTACAACTTTTAGTCGAATGTGCAATATTTTTTAAATGTTTGCGCAGAAAACGATTTGAAAGTGTCAAATCACATTTATTATATATATAGATATTACTAAACAGCGTATTAATTGACAAAACTTCGCAAAATTTATCAAAAGTTGTGTTGTACGATGCTTGTCCATTTTGTTTCCAATATATATAAAAAAATTAACTAGATTTTTTTATATTTAAATATTAAGCATTGTTTTTTTGTGTTTAAATTATTTTTTTTTGTATTTATTTAATAATTTATTAAGATTTATTTTTATTATTTTTTTAATTTATTGATTAACTAAGGTATTAATTTATTAATTAATTTATTCATGTATTAAATTATATTTGTTTTCTTTATAATTTTCTTTTTTTTTATTCATACTAAGTAGTGTTAATAAATAAATTAATCATGAAGTAATGAAATTGGGTTGTAAGCGAAATGCTAAATAAAACAGCAAAAAGGTTATCTTCCATTTAATTCCACTTCATTTTGGTATCTTATTTCGACTACAATGTGCAGTCTTCATCAGTGTCATTCCCACTAAAGAACTTTTGAAAATCTAACCCCCTTAAGTACTCATCCTCTAGGTATAAAAGTCAAGATCACAGGTATAAAAATGAAACTACAATGTGTTGAATCGGAACCTACCTAACTAATAAAAACCAAATATTTAAGTAAGCTAAAGGAGAAAAATCTATACAACTCTCTTATAAGGAAAATCCCCAAAGGCTTGATAGCCATCATGATGAAGTTATGAAATTGGGTTGTTAGCGGAATGCTTAATAAAACAGCAAAAAAGGTTATCTTCCATTTAATTCCACTTAATTTTGGTAATCATGACAGATTTTTTTAATTTATTAACTTATTAATTATTTTTTGTTTTTTTATTTATTAAATAATTAACTAATTAATTAATTTATTAATTTATAAGTTTATTTATATATATATTATTTATTTTCTTATTTTTTTTTATTTAATAATGTATAAATATAGTAATATATTCATTAACAAATTTATTTATTTATTAATTTATTAATTTATTATATAATTAATTTATTAATTTATTAATTTATTATATAATTAATTTATAAATTTATTAATTTATTAATTTATTATTTTCTTGACAAATTGATTTTTGAGTTTTTTGTAAGTATAAATTCATTGATTTATAAATTTACTTCTTTATTAATCATTATTTAATTAATTTATTAATCAATAAATATGAAGGTTTAAGGTTTTACAAATTTATTAATTTATTAATTAATTAATTTATGTATATTTTAGTTTATTTATGAATTAAATATGTCAAAAGTATATTTCCTTTTAGTTAATTAATTGTTGATGTATTTATTAATACATTTGTTAATTTATTAGTTAAATTATTTATTTATTATTTAATTTATTATTTCAAAAAAATATTAATTTATGAAATTAAGAATATATGAGTTTATGAATCAATGAATTTATTAATAAATAAATTAATTAATTCATTGATCTATTAAATTAAAAAATTATTTATTTAAAAATAAATAATTTTTTAGTTTATTATTATTAATTTATTATTTTAATTTTTTTTAAATTTATTAAATCATATATTTTTTTTAGTAATTCATACATTTATAAATCTATTAATTAGTTTATTTCATTATTAATTTATTAATACATTTATTATTTTAGTTTTTAAAAATTTATTAATCAATCTTGTAATTAATTTATATAAAAGTTATAAATTTAATTTTGTAGCGATTTTTAAACTTACTTGCCTTAACAATCAGGTTAAGGCCTTGTTGTTCTCTGCTGTCCGAAGAAGTCGTCTCCACTCTACTCGATCCATGGCCACAGCTCGCCAGCCTCGTAGTCTGCGAACGGTCCGCATGTCACCTTCTACTTGGTCGATCCACCTTGCCCGCTGCGCGCCTCTTCTTCTTGTTCCTGTTGGGTCGCTTTCTAGAACCATTTTCACTGGGTCGTCGTGCGGCATTCTTACGACGTGCCCAGCCCACCGTAGTCGCCCAATTTTTGCAATGTGGACGATGGATGGTTCTCCCAGCAGCTGGTGCAATTCGTGGTTCATTCGCCTCCTCCACGTTCCGTCATCCATCTGCACTCCACCGTAGATGGTACGCAACACCTTCCGTTCGAAAACACCAAGGGCGCGTTGGTCCTCCACGAGCATAGTCCAGGTCTCGTGGCCGTAAAGGACCACCGGTCTAATCAGCGTCTTGTAGACAGTCAACTTCGTGCGGCGGCGAATTTTATTCGACCGGAGCGTGCTCCGGAGTCCAAAGTAGGCACGATTCCCTGCCATAATGCGTCTTTGAATTTCTCTGCTGGTTTTCATTTTCGGCGGTCACCAGTGAGCCCAAATACACGAACTCATCGACCACCTCGATTTCGTCACCGTCAATCTGAACTCGGGGTGGGAGGCTAACATTGTCTTCCCTAGAACCTCTTCCTTTCATGTATTTTGTCTTTGATGCGTTGATGGCAAGTCCAATCCGTCTAGCTTCAGCCTTCAGTCTGAATTTATTTTTAAACTTAATAAGTTTTTAATCTATTAATTCATATTTTATTTATTTATTGATTTGAAAATTTGTTCATTAATTTATTTGTTTATATATGAGTCTCTTAATTAACTAATAAATGCATTGATTCATTAATATATTAAAATATTAGTTCATTTATTTTTGTGTTTATTTATTAATTCATCTTTTCATTTAATTGTTCATTTATTTATATTTTATGTCATTTATTAAGTAACTTATTTTTCAATAAAATATTGTTTATTTTTTTTAGTTTTTTTTAATAATAAATTAACAATTTTAAAATTCTTTTAGTTTTTTCTATTAACTTATCAACTTCATAATGCATTTATTTACATTTTTTTTAAATAATTAAATTAATTAGAAAAAAACTTTATTAAAACATTTATTTATAATTAAATAAACGCATTACATATTTAAAAAAACTAATTTTATAATTTGAACATTAAAAATAATTAATTAATTTATTCTTACGTTATTATTTATTTTGTGATTCATTAAACTATTTATTTATCAATGTATTTAGTTATAATTGAATCAATTTATTTGATAATTTATATATTTATTGATTTCTTTACTTTAAGTTTGTGGATTTATTGAGCAATTAATTATTTCATTCCTTAATTTATTTATTTATTTATCTAAAAGTTTTTAAATAATACAAAGCCGATGCCGGTGGTGTAGTGATAAGCATGACTGCTGTCTTACCCCAATGGGTCTGGGTTTAATCCCACCCGAGGTCGGTGGGATTTTTCTAAGGCATAAAAACTGTGTTCACGTCTTCCTTCGGAAGGGAAGTAAAGCCGTTGGTCCCGGCCCATGTGTGTTGAGTGGGTGAGATATCCTACGCAGGTGTGGAAGCTGCCTTCCTGTTCATTCGATTGCCGTCAATGGATGGCAATCGATGTCCGTCGGTGATTGGCACTAGATTGCGGAACAGAGACCGTCGTTTAATTAAGGAAAGAAGATAAATTAATATATTTATAAATTCATAATTTTTTTTTTAATTTTTATGTTTCTGATTCATTATTCAATTATTGATTTATTTTTTAATTTATTTTGTTAATGTATTTATTAATTAATTTATTTATTTATTTGTTTATTTATTTGTCTATTTATTAATTTAATATAGATCACCCGCGATCGAGGTTATCCCACCGGGTAGCAAAATGAAATGGCTGAAAACGACTTGGCACACGCAGGCGGGCCTCGAATCATTTTCCACCTTAACCACCATCATGAATAACCATCATTATGTGCGTATTTTTCTCCAGTCACACTATAATTATATATGATTAACTTTGCTTCCATGGCAGTTTTAGTTTTGCTTGGATAGCACTTTCATCACCAATCCCAGCCATTGACTCCGATCTGCCAAAGCTCAAACAATTCATCTTCACCTTTTGGACCACAGTGCCTTAGGCCAAAAACGGAAAGCAACACAGGCTAGCCATAGCACAAACTTTTCTGATGCATTCTTCTACTTGAGATTATACCATCAAATAAGAATGTAAAATTTAAAATCAAGGTTAAGACAGGGGACTAAATCCGCCGAGCATGTTTCCCGAATAGAAAGTTTTAAACCACCTGTTAGTTTACAGAGCAAATAATCACTCAATTCATTCTCTGATATCCGTTACAAAGTCATGGTTCGTTATTTAAGATTTTTGCGTTGGATTTTCCAACTGTCCAATAACACGATACATACTGTAATATGTATATACAACAGAATCGTCTCACCGGCGAGCGTAACAATCGATACGAATAAAATACGAAATAACCATCGATTCCTTATCAGACCGGTTGCATTATCAACAAACCATTATCTAACCAGTATGGATATTTGGGCGTATCGTCCCGGACGTCAGTTGTGGCCATTAACTCAGTTCGTTCAGTCGTGTACACATATTTTCAGAATCACATTCGAATTATATTCAGAATATTGCGAAGCTAATCGAAAACTTCAGAAATGGTTAAAGGTCAGTGTTCGGGATGCAACGTTCTCATCTTGGTAAATTTGAATAATTTGTGATTGTTCCAGACATTGACCTACCGGACTCAACGGTTCTCATCAAATTCCATGGAACATTTATGATCATCGCATGGATCCTATTCTCATCGGTTGGCGGAACGGTGGCGAGGTAATCGATTCGCCAGAACATATTTTCACAACTTTCACACCCCGATTTCAATGAGAAATCATCGGAAACGTTGACAGGCAAATCGATAAAAACCGTGCAAGAATTTGTGTTTGTTTATTTCAATTGTATATACAGATGTTGAGTTTTTACGGTATCATTGATCCCCTGCAACAACGTGTGTCATTTGTGAATGAATGTCATTTTATCGTTTTTGTGCTTTATAGGTATTTCAAGAAAACATGGGTATCGGAGCGGTATTTTGGCGGAGACGCGTGGTTTCTGGTGAGTCATGGCTTGTTGATTAAAAGTGTATCATTTTAATAATCTAAGCTAGATTAGATAAGAACAATAACTGGAATTAAGTAATAATATTAAAATAACAGAGATTGAAAAAATTTTACAAAGTGTTTATGGCAAGATCTCCTACTGCATCACGTTTGTTTATTTCTACTCGATTTCCAGTACCATCGGGTGTACACGTTCTTCACGTGGCTGCTAACATGCTGTGGCTTCATCCTCATCTTCATCGACATGGACGGGTGGCAGGATCATGCCCACGCCGTTGTGGGGCTGATTGCTTTCATCCTGTGCTTCCTACAGCCCATATTTGGAGCTGTCAATCCGCCGGAAAATGCTCGAAAAATCGTCCGCATGGTGCACGTCGTTTCCGGTCACTTGGCATACATTTTGGCAGGTAAGTAACGAGGAAGTCATCCCAATCCCAACCTTTTTTTATAGCGATTTCTGTGATGGAATGTAAATTGATTGTTATTGAATTTCGTTTTCTTTCCGCTCTCCGCAACGACTTCAATCTGTCTTCCATCAGTAACCAACATGTTCCTAGCGGTGGGCATGTCTACGGCTAAACTGCCGGATTCCATGTACGGTTTACTCGGTGCAGCCGTAGGGTTTCACTGTGTAATTCATGCCATGTTCAATGTGAGTATGGGGAGAAATATTTTGCAAGGCAAATATATTTTATCGAATTAAAATTCAATTTCCACCGCAGTTTCTGGAGTACAAGTCTATGAAGAGAGGGCTCCCAGAGGATCCAACGAAGGACGCTTCGGTATGTACGAGAAAGTCAGTGTGGTCAATGTGATGTCATCCAAGAGCTACATTTTCGTTACAGTTTTCTCGATGGCGGAAAGTGACACTAATGGCGCAAATGATCGGACTATTCGCCGTCACGGTGGCTCTCGTTGTCCTGGTGTGGCTAGCATGATGAAATGCCAAAATGCAGCGAAGGACCGCGTGACGTCGTTGTTGTGGGAGATGCCGAAACTTTGTGATAAGAATTCAGTATTTCTTCAAGCACTGTGATTATATATTAAGTGGTTATTTGTTTGGAGGTACCTCATTGTTTAGTGACGATTGCATTGATACGCACTCGTGAGTCGATTAAGAGATAAGGAAGAAACGATTTACGACGACCGTTGTCTGCTCGGTAAAAGATTTAATCGGTTTGATACATTGTAATGGTGTTCCACATTACACACATGCGGCAATATGCAGTTCTAACGAAAGCCATATATAATAACAGAAATTTAAAGATAAGTACGGATTCAAGATTTCGTAAGATGAAAGCATGAAATGCTTGGTACTCTATAAATATATCAATATATTCCGATAGCAAAATATGGCTTGTTTTTTTATTTTTCCTTGATTTGTTTACCGTTGATCTTGTTTTCCGTGCTGAACACCAATGCTACCGACGCTAGGGAGGCAGCTCCCACACCTGGACCCTACCTATCGACCCATCAACTCATGGACCGGGGACCAACGGCTTTACTTCCCTTCCGAAGGAAGGCGTGCCTCAGAACATCCCGGCGGCGCCGACTGGGATTGAACGCAGGCCTGCTGGGGTGAGAGGTAATCACGCTCACCACTACACCACCGGCACCTAAAATATGGCTTGTTGATTTTGACCAGCCAAAATATTCCAGACAAGTGATTGTGACAAATAGTTTTATTGGATAGGTGCAGTTGAGCAGCTACACGTCAACTGACGAATCGATCAGACTTGACCCTCTCCGATTCCCACGAAATTTTGTATAATTGTAGACGAGACGTCTTCGTGCTATAAAGAGGAACGAGTCGAAATGGCCGAATTCTTGGACAAATTTTAATGATTTCCCTTAGCGAACACTTATTCAAAGTGTTATGGGCTTATCATATTTAACGAAATGAAAAGTGAAAAGACAGTTTGAAGAAGAAGAAAATGAGTTCTCAAGTAAAAAGGTAGACAGATGGTCTGACGACCAAATTCAAACTGAAATAAAATCTACGTACGCTTTTTTTTATAAAACATTCATGTTCACTTCGGATAGTTAAACCGAAAGCCACAAACCCGAGTGGATCATTAGAATGAAAGGATCATCAGGCCGAATTTTGAATAGTGATAGAGTGAACTCACAATGTTCTTTGAAACAGTATTTATCCGAACACTATAGGATAAATACTGTTTCACTGAACTTTAGTTATTTAACAAGATCTCTATCTGGGAAGGGCCAATGGAGAAATTGATAAATCTTGATTTTAAAGATTCTGTATTCTCATCATTTCTTTGGGCAAGAAGGCTTTTGATCACGAGTAAAATTTGAGTAACTCTGAGTAACTCGCGTTGCTCAACATGATATACACATAGCAACCTGATTGTTGTGTTGAAACCGATACTGTTAAGCAAAGCAAACTTACGTGTTGAAACAACATTTTAAACAGTCCGCTTGCAATGCCCAAGTAACACTTGCAACATCGGAGGATTTCAGTCAGTATTGAGGGGGATTCATGACAGTCCAGGGGGATTAAAAACAATTGAAGGTGGGATTCAGTACAAACCCAGAACGGATTCCGGACAATCCCAGATTGATTCCAGAAAATAACAGGGAGGATTCCAGTCAATCCAAAGAGGGGTTCTGGACAATTCTAGTATGAAACAAAAAACACAAATGTGGTAGTTCCTGCATCCTTTCGACAATGCTCATTGACAAACTGACAAGTTTCAGAATAGAATTAACTATGAAGTTAGCTGTAACTTTGAACACACTTTAGCCATCGATCTTTGGAAAGCAAAAGAGGCTTACGTGTCCCCTGACCTGAACAGGACCAATCTAACTTGGGTCTATTTGTTTTTCTCTATTAGAGCGACTTTAAGTCACTTTTTTTTATCTAGTTCATTTATTTGTAAGGCTCAATCGCGTTAGCTTTACGGAGCCGATAGATCATTGTTCTTTGTTTGTAACAAAATTAACTAGACATTAATAGAATACTCGAGGCTTACTCGAGATTAGATGGGTACATTGTCGAAGGATAGGAAAAGGGGAGGAGCTTGGGAGTAGGGTTTCGTTGTTTTTTCAGAGCGATGGCGCCAGTATGAACGGTAGTGTGGTTCTAGACTCGTCTGGAGTTCGACCGGCTATGGTGACCAGTGGGCAACGATGAGACTCATCGAGACGGGGGACAAGACAAACAAAAACTAATAAAGAGATACAAAATACTTTTAGTCACTTAATCGAGATCTTTTAATGCATGAAAACTAAATCTAGATAGAGCTGGAACTAGAAATCATTGAAATAAACCATTGTTTACAAAAGCCGTTAGGCGTCCAGCTCTATCCAGAAATACTGAAAACATAACATTCCGCCAGCGGCGGTTGTTTCCAGAACTTCATTTGAAGAAAAATATGAGACTACTTTGTTTATTTGTGCGTAAATATGAGTTACTCAAATTAACTCCCGGCAAATATATTCACTCTGAGTACAGCTGTCCTTACATTATTCAATGTAATGAAGATCTCATCAAGATCTCATTTCAACGGAAAAGAATGGATTGCGTACTTGATCCTAAATAGAAGATAACCGACTTGGAAAACTATTCAGTTGACATCTGAGATCTGATGCAAACATAATTGCAGACCATGCATATGATTTTTTTTTATATTTTTTAAGAGATTTTTAGCCGTTCATCTCTAACATATGAAGGTTGTACATGAACAAAACCCAGACACACCATGGTTTTTCAATAAGCATAATACCTACTCATGTATAGCTGTTGCACTGAACTATGAAAAATAAAACGCATTTTTAAACCCAAACAAGGTTTTCGGGTCCGGATTTTTTTTTCAACCTTTAGAAACATTTTTAGAAGAAGAATTTTTAGCCTACGATTTTTAATAGCTGATTCCTCCTTCTTTCGAATAGTCTTTGCATCTGAAGTTGAAAATGTTTCATAGGTGATAAAACTTTCTCTGAAACATGAGCGGTTGATTCGAGGAATATTGAAGTAATCATTTTTTAAATCTAGGATTAAATATGCTCTAACATACATATGCCTTCGTTTTGCTATTTATTCTTTTCTTAGCCCGGAACAATACAGATGCCGGATGATGAAATGGGAACAATTATTATTCGGTTTAGTGGCCCACTCTGCTTAGTTGCGTTTGGCCTAATAATGTGTGGCCTAATGGCGTTCGGTCTAATGGCGTTCGGCCTAATGACATTCATCCTTGTGGCATTTAGCCTAGTTTATCATAACCATTCCAGTTATCCAGCTCAACAAAGAAAAACCTACCACAATGATAGATTTGTTCCATTGGTTAGCGATCAGTCTCCTTATGATGCTCTAGCTTTCCAGTTTACCATCATATATGGGTTGAAAAACTGTATCAAATCAGTTCCATCCCCAATTGAAATCGTAGTTTTGTGCTTGTTTAGGAAAAAAAATAGTCGAATACACTTGTGGGCTTCTCGAGCAGTAAGGAATCGATTGAATATTTCCTACTGGCATGTTCATGGAATACTACTTAATTGTCCATGTCAGGACCATTGAATTCATATCTGGGACATTTCTAACGCTGAGCGATCACTTCACATTCCTGAACAATGGAGTACCTTGAGCGATACTCTCTTTAGCATCCTTACGAAACAACCTTCTCAGCAGTCTTTGTTTTGATTCAAGACTTTTACTACACTCCTCCCCATAATTTCTCAACTTCAACTCATAATTTACCTCATCGTTTAGCCATTTCCACAAATCAACCCAAACACGTAAGCCTTAGAAAAAAAAATAGCAAAACTCAATTCTATCACAACTTAGCAGTAAAATATATAAATGAAAAACACCAAACTTAAAATAAATATGTATACAGTGAAACCTGAGTTCATTCACAACCAAGTTCACAACGATTTCCGAAATAAATTATTAAGTTTTTGCCTGAATTCACTGAAATCCGAAAGAAAATTCTAACTCATACTAAATTTTCGTAACCTAAACATGTAACCTAATTAAAAAATGGACTGTATTCATATTTACACGATCTACACTAATTTTCATTTGAAAAAAAATTACCAAAAAAGACATCAAAATTCTTATTTTACGTTGGGCGCCAATATGTAGCGGCCCCGAGGCAGCTACGGTGCTGTTGTTTGTTCCCGATAGGTTTCATAAACGGATGGTTTAAGCGCCACCTCCGAAGAGGACCACCTGTCGTGTTTCACGATGCCCGGCTAGATACTGGCCAAATGAGCCAGTTCTCAAATTCGTCAACAGTGTCGGGAACAAGACCAACTGAGCCGAGTGACTCAAGAAAGATGAGAGCATACCCACCGAAATCATAAGATCCTAACTACCGAGTACGAAAAACTTCCAATCCCGAAAACCAATCCGAACAGGGGTATCATCACAGGAAGCAATCCTTCTGACCCATCAACTCGAGCTTGATTTAGAAGACGAGTAACACAACAAATTCAACGGAAAAAGACTAAACATGATGAACGAAACGTGAAATAACCTTCAGACTCAATCAAAACTTTCTAACACTGAACACTGATTTATTTTGGGAGTGAACATTCTACTTTTATTTAGTTTATCTATAGGGGTTTTTATTCACATATCTACAATCTTGGTTCTGGCCGGCCTAACTACTATTCCCCTCTATCTTTCTATCTGACTAGTGCGGTCGATGGACTATTCGCCTAGCGCGCTATCATTCTGTGTCCGTGCTAACGGCCTTGCATGCAAGTGTGGGTTCGCTACTTACAGGATTTGAAGCTTACGTTGGCGAGCTTTACGGGCTTTCGCCCGACCGATGCCGTCGTTGCAACGACGGCTGATGTCCTCCTACTGCGCTTGAAGTTTCTTAGTTGCCGAACTCAGTCAGCGGATGGTGGCTTGCTGGACGTTAGCCGGAGTGCCTTGGTAACGTAGGCAACTCCCTTCGGATAGGCAACCGGGAAGCTTTGATACCCGAGCGTGGTAAGGGTTGGCGACAATAAACAAAGCCGCGGTGCGAGGCAGCGCTATTGATCAACGGTCGCTTTGTTGGCTGTTGAATCCTATAGAAAGCGAACACGCGGAAAGTCGTTGACCGTGCAAACGACACAATAAACCTATTATCGGCACACACAAATTTCGTAAATTGGTTTTACCTTGCCGTTATCT